TGGAGGTGAGTGCAGTTGTTTTTAGTTCTGCCCAGGTTGAATCTGTTGCACCAGATGTCATCCCCTGCAAGGAGGCAGGCAGCTTCCCCTTGTCCCAGCTCTCCTCTGGAGCTGTGTTCCCTGCATCAGGTGTGTGAACTTCCCCCAACACTTACGCTTCCTCTCTAAGGGCCTGATCTAATATCACTATATGTGCCCAGTTCCCACTGATGTCAGCCAGGGCTGTACTGGCTGGGGGAGTGTAGGATCAGGCCCTGCATATGTTGTTCTCTGGATGATAGCATCTTTTGAAGGCAGCAGGGGAAGCCCATTCCTCATCGCACTGCCATCTGCCCTGCTTCCCATTTTGGTTACCTGTGCTGCTGCGTAGGACAGACAGGCCAGGTTATCACCTGGAGTTCATTGGGGTAACTCCTTGGAAATCTGTGGGACAAAACTGATTTACACCAACTAAGGATCAGGCCCAGATGAATAGTGCACGCTGTGACCAGGAGACCATGGGGCAGTGGATACGTCTCACAGGGTAACCAGGTGGGTAGAGTGCAGCTTGACTCAGAGCCAGGGTACTGATGCCCATAGTTTCTCCCTGCAATGGGACCTTTCTGGACTAGTTAATCTGCGATTGTGGTACAGCAGAGCAATGCACTCCCCCTTGCTTTCCAGGGGGTAGAGCTGGGATGGGTGAGTTCTGAGTCTGAGTCTCAGCTCGTGCTGTGAAAATGGCCAGGGCCCATTTTTTTTTTCCCACTTCAGTTTGCTCATCAGTGAGTGCAGATGTGCACAGACTTAATGAGTGGGTGCGTGTAAAACAGTTTGGGATCATGGCTGGAGAAGGCAAGGGGCTGTCTTGTGGCTCGCTGGTTACAGTAGGGACTTGGAGCCCTGTTCTGCATGATTCCGTGAGCGTGCTGCTCACCTCGATGGCTGATCCCTTCTCTGTAATGATAGCCCTGCTGTCCTAGTAATACAAGCCCCTTTCTCTGCTTTCCCTCCACCTCAAGGAGGCAGTTCCCTCCCTCCCCATCGGCCCCCAAGATCCCATCGTGGCAAATTCCAGTGAAGCCTTCCTCCCCCTCCAACCCCGTTGCCACCAACCACAACAGCAGCAGTGATATCTCTCCTGTCAGCAACGAGTCCACCTCCTCATCACCCGTGAAGGAGAACCATAGCCCAGAGGGGACAAAGGTCAACTGCCACCTCCTGACCACAGAGGAAGGTGGCAAAGCGGTTATTGATGTCAAGGGCCAGGTGCGGATGGAGGTACAAGGCGAGGAGGAGAAGCGGGAGGACAAGGGGAACGAGGAGGAGGAAGAAGAGGAGGACGATGAGGACGATGACGTCAGCCATGTGGATGAAGAGGAGTGCCTTGGGGTCCAGACTGAGGACCGGCGAGGAGGTGACGGGCAGATTAACGAGCAGGTAGAAAAGCTGCGGAGACCTGAAGGGGCCAGCAATGAAAACGAGATTGACTAGGGCAACTGGGCTGCTTCTCCTTCTGCCCTGCATCTCCCTAAGCCTCCCCTCCTCTTCTGAATTGCCTCTCCTGTTCAGTGGAGAAAGCTTCCCTGCCCCAGTGATTCTCCCATGATTCACCTCGAGTAGCGTCATGATTGTCCAGTGAGCAAGGTGGGTCCTGTGTCACCCCAGGGCCATGCAGCATCCTGGTGGCTTTCTTTCCCTTTCCCCACACCACCTCCTGCCCCAGGAATCTGAGCTGGGGTCACTGCCCAGATTGGGAGAACACCTTACCATGGGCAGAGACTCCATGGCTAGAGAAAAAAGTCCACTTGCAAATGCATTCAGCATCATTTGTGAACTAGTCCAAACCTTCACTGCATCCCAGAGCCCTTCCATCCACGCTCAGAAACCAGGTGGCCAAGCCCCTTCTTGTTCCCAACCACATCTTGGTCCCAAAGCAGTTCTCCCCGTTCACTGAAACATCCCACCAGATTTTACTCCTCAAACCAGGCTGTTTAATCCCTAAATACCCCATCAAATCTTGCTCCCAGGCCAGCCACCTGCCGGCCAGACTTTGTGTGAGACCCAACTCCTGAAGCCGTTCAGCCTTTGAGAAACACTGAAGTTCTGGCAAAGTCCAAAGGACACAACTCCCTGCACTCAACCTGGTGCCTCTTGTTAGGGGTCAGGCCCATAGAAATGGTCATGAGGCCAGGTGCCCTTGACTTCCCTCTGGTGAAAGAGTACTTCCCCTGCCGACACGATTCACACCTGATGCCCCATCCACCCTCATTTACTGTGCAGGGGAGGGTAGCTCACGCCCGTTTCTGACGTCTTCCATTCCATTAATAGCCTGGCCTGAATGAATCGGGCGATTTTGGCTGCTGGAGTAGTCAGTCAGTCCCAAGCCTCTGCAGTGGTTCTTAGCTCATCTCAATGGTCAGTCAAGGCCTGTGTCCAACGTGGCACAGGGATCCGCCTCGGCAAGATGCTGTTTGCAGTATGGAGAATGGTTCCAACGCAGAGGTGCGCCACTCCCCTCCCTGCCCGGCCCGGCCCGGCCCTCTTTGCCCCAGGAGGGCTAAACACAAAAACAAAACGACGAGTTTTGAATTCTCCTGTTTGCAGCATTGTGTTTGCAGCTGGTAAAATGGTGATGTCTGATTCTTATTCACTGCATAAGAGCCTCTTAGCAGAGCAATTCCTGTAACATCTGAGTCTCACTGTCCTCACCAAGCAAACGTGCTCGTCTGTGTGATCACGTATAGATTTCAAATATAAAATACGATTGTATATAATTGTAATAAATATGAGTTACCACTATTTAACACTGGGCTGCTGTGGCTGACTTTTTTGGGAGGGGGGTGGGGAGGGGGTGGGCAAAAGAGAATGTGGGCTCTGGAAACGCAGCTCTTAGGCAAACGTTCCCCAAAGTTTATTGGGAAATGTTTGTTAGTTTTATAGTCAGCTGCTCCCGTCCCAGGTTCTCCCAGCAAGGGGCAGTGCAGAGCACAGTGGAGAATCTTGGCAACTGAGGCTACCCATGGACCCCTTGTCTCCCCACAGGAGCTATTGATTGCAGTGAGCAATGTAAGTAGCTCTGACGGTGCTATAACTTGATGCTGCCCCAGGCCATGGGGTATGCACGGTATGGAGCAGATGCCTCATCTTCAGGGTAATGTGCAGCTCTTCAGTCTCACCGTCTTCCAGAAGGAGGCACTAAGGGAGATGGTACGTGGTAGCTCATGACTGTTTGAACCCCGCCATCTCTGAGCAGGCAGTGGTGCAGGGAGCAGCATATAGCAACTCAGCTCCTGCAGTCCTATCTTCACTTGACAGAAGTGTTTGGCTTCCTTCTAAAAAATGAGGGATTTACTTGATTCCTGAGTATTTGGGTGTCTGGTACACAGTGACATTTGCCTACTCAGGGGGAGAGGAAGGGACCTTCATATTACTGTATTTAGACCTGCTGTTGAATGTGATGATTTCTCATTCCTTAAATGGACGAATATCTTCCCCAGGAGTCTCTCTCTCCCTCTCTCTCTCCCCCTCTCTCTCTCCCCCTTAGCATTCACTGAGAATGTTGCATTTAGCTAAAACAGGGCAAATTTGAGTGTGTTTAAAAGCGGAGGCTTTCCTTAGATGATGGCACTTTTTGTCTTCCTCAAGCCAAGAATCCTCATGAAATGGAAATGCAGGGTGAACACAGGGAGGCAACAGAAGTATTGTCCTGGCTGTGTACATTTTATATACATAGAAGGTTTTGAAAATAGAAAGTGCTTGGACAACAGCAGTCAGTGAAATGTGGAAAATATGTTGCTGAGGTATGCCCCTTGTGGAGTGACTTACGAGGTTTATAGCACAGGCAGCCCTGAGGTTTTTTTCCTTCCCTCTGTGCTTCCAATGGATAGCTAGTTCATTAACAAGGCGTGTTTTTGCTCTGAGTTTTTCAAACCTTCCTTTGCTTTCTGGGGTAGCGATAAAGTGTGATATTTTTTTTTTTTTTTTTTTTTTTTTTTTTTTTTTTTTTTTTCCAACCCTTCCTCCTCTTCAACCCCTCCCCTCTGGGGGGA